GGAACAGTACCATGGTATAGAAGGACTTTTCGGTGATTCATTCATGGTCATTGTTCTGTGAAACACTTGAATAACTATCTTAAAATACTCTAAATAAGCATATGTTACTATTCTTTGGACCTGCATAAACTTAGTAAATAAAAATGCCTTGAATATACTAAAAACCTATTGCCATGACTTTTGCTCTTAACAGATCCACTTCATGGTAGTGAGTGCTTTGAGTGTGCTCTATATATTCAGGATCATTCTGGTAAAGAGTCATTATTTCATCGCCATTTACAATTTTTTCCAAAAAATGTTTTAGGATCTTGAACCCACTTATTTTTAAATTCCAATGAAATCTCTACTCTTCTCTACCAGTTGATCTGGAAGCAACAGTTTTGGCACTCATCAAGCAAAAAGTTTGGTCAACTTTAATTTTTCATTCACAACTGTTTAAACTGAAATAGTCAAGATGTCTATTGTGTTGGTTATTGTTTCTATTAATTATCATCAGTCCTCTTCAGCAAAAATACCAACAACATTGTTTCCTCAAAAATTGACGTGCATTGTCTGCCTCTGTATCATCTTCAATGTAGTCTCATCTCTTCTTAAAGATTCACCGATTTGTAAACCGTGCATTTCTTTGGAGAATTGTAGCCATAATATTTTCATAAAAGCATCAATGATTTCACTAATCTTCCCCAAAAACTTCACCAAAAAAATAATGCTTGCTCTTGCTTTAATTCTAACAGAATTCACGGTACTCTGCTAGGGCACTTTTTAAAGAGAGTCAATGAATGATTGAACCCTCATAATACTCCAAACTCGATTCTGTTCAGACATGTCCTAACAAGTAAGTACAAAGTTATTTCTATATAAAATAAATTTGAAATCCATACATAGCTGTTTAAATAATATGCATTTTTAAGAACTTTTTGAAGATCCTTTTTGTACATATGCTAATGATTTGAAAAGCTAGTTAAAAAGCTAGTAACACATCAGGAAAAACATGAGCCTTGAATGCTATCTAAAGGAAAGTTAGTGAAATGTTACTTATAATAAAAACATTTTATAATGGGGTGAGCATTTTCCCCCCTCCTATTTCTAAGTTCTCTGAGAATCACTGATAATGCCAGCTCTCATTATCTATACTTTACTAATTTGTTTGCATAAATATACGCACAAATTAATTTGGAATTGCTAACCTATTCCCCTATGAGAATCACAGATACTAACTGGATTATACTATTTATATACAGTTTTTCTCATTAGCTTAGTAAAGTCAAGATGTTGTTGTTGTTAAGTACCGTTGAATCGGTTCCGACCCATAGCGACCCTGAACAGGGTTTCTGAGGCTGTAAATCTTTACAGGAGCAGAAAGCCTCCTCTTTCTCCCGCGGAGCAGCTGGTAGTTTCGAGCTGCTGACCTTGCAGTTCTCAGCCCGATTTATAACCACTACTCTATCAGAGCTCTTTAAAGTCAAGATACTACTTACCAAACTAACTTAAATTACTCCTTTTCGTCCCATTTAGTCTCTTCTACTCTTAGAACAACAAAAATAAATAAAAGGAAGGAGGAGAGTCTCCTTTTCCAGAACATAAAGCCACACATGAATTCAGGCTTATCTTGTTAAATGTTGACTTGAGATCTAGGCATTTAAAATCAATAGACTTCTCTTTCCATATCTATAAAATTACAATAAAACTAGGCAGAGTAAGGGGAATCTAAAAATTGGCTTACAAAGACTGTAACTAGTGAACCTGTTTCACAGATGCATATAACCGTTTTGCAAGGGAATGGGACAAAATGAGTAATTTAAGTAAGCTTGGTTAAGTAGTATCTTGACACTATATATAGCTAGCCTCTATATAAAACACAAAAGTGTTTCCATTTCTCAAACCCTTCCCCCGAAAAATTCTACACTCTCAACTTAAACTATTTTGGACATATTGTCCAGAAGAAACAATCGCTGGAGAAGGATGTCATGCTGGGTAAGGTGGAGGGTCAGAGAAAAAGAGGAAGACCCCTAACATGATGGATTGGCCAGGTGGCATCATTGATGGACTCAAGTGTGGCGGATCAGACATTGTTTCGTTCTGCTGTGCATGGGGTCGCTATAAGTCAGTTCCGACTCAATGGCACCTGACAACAACAACTTAAACTATGTCAAAACAGAACTTTTGACATATGTGTGAATCCTCAATCTGAATGCTAAGCAAATAACTAAGAAGCTATAGTATCTTAAGAAGACTGCAACATCAGGATTAGTGAAGGCTCATTAACAACCCTGCTAGCTCAAAGTGAAGAGTTCTTTCACAACAGTTGCTGAAGGTCAACTACAACATTCAGTATGGATGATAAGTCAATGTTCAGAAAAAAAATCTCTGCACAACTGGACCAGTACGCATCATCATGACGAAAAGAGAAAAAGACTGAAGATGTCAAGGATTTCATGTTAGCTGAACCCATAATCAATGCTCATGAAAGCAGCAATTAAGAAATCAAACGACATATTTGCATTGGACAAATCTGCTGCACAAAAGTGTTCAAGACCAAAAATTTTATTGATGGTTCAACATGTACCTGACCAAGGCAGGCTACTTTCAATCACCTCATATGCATGTGAAAAATATACAATGAATAAGGAAGACCCGAGAGGAATTGATGCGGCTTGATTTACAGTATTGACAAAGAATACTAAAATTACATGGACTGCCATAAGAACAAACAAATCTTTATGGAAAACAACCATGCCGAATGCTCCCTAGAAGCAAGAATGGCAAAACTTAAATCATGGAGTCCTGGTGTGGTGCTGTAGTTAATTCATTGGAAAACATAGTTCATTTGAACTATAAGGTTGGAAGTTCAAGTTCACCATCGGCTCTCAGGAGTCCCTACATACGGTCACTATGATTCGGAATGGACTCAACTGAACTTAACAACAAGTGTCTTGCACATATTACTAGAAGGAACGGTGTCTGGAAAATGACATCACGCTTGGTCAAGTACAATCACTGAAAAAGAGGAAGTCAACAAGATAGACTGACCCAGTGGCTTCAACAATGGGCTCAAACATCCAACAACTGGGAGGATGCTGCAGGACTGGACAGTGTTATGCAGCAAGTCACTATGTGGCAGAGCTGACTTGACAGCACCTAACAACAAAACTGTTAAATGCTGAAGAGCAGAGATGTCAGCTTGAGGACTAATGTGCACCTGACCCAAGCTGGACAGTGAATAAGGAAGAACACAGAAGAATTGATACTTTTGAGTTATGGTGTTGGAGGAGAATATTAAAAGTGCCATGGGCTGCCAAAAGAATCAATAGATCCGTTTTGGAAGAAGTGAAGCCAGAGTGCTCCTTGGAGGCCAAGATGGCCAAACTTAATCTCTCATACTTCCAACATACTGTCAGCAGGATACAGTTGCTGGAGAAAGGTATCCTGTTTGGTAAGGTGGAGGGTCAGAGAAAAAGAGGAAAACCTCCAACAAGATGAATGGGCCAAGTGGCAACATCGATAGACTCAAGCATGGCAACAGTAGTGAAGATGGCCCAGGATCGGGTAGTGTTTCAGACTGCTGTGATTAAGGTCGCTCTGGGTCGGTACCGACTTGATGGTACCTAACAACAAGAAAAGGGGCTCAAATCCTATTCATTTAAAATATTCTTTGACTTAAGGGACTAAAAAGTATGATCAAAAATCTGGATGATAGGAAATTCACCTAGGACAATCCTTGCTACTCTTTAAGAATAAGGAAAGTGCAATGCTGCTGCTATAGAAAAAAGTCCATGACACAACATAACTGACCATCCATTCACAACGCCACTTTGAATTTTCTGTAAGCTTCTTTCAAAGAGTCCTTGTGAACACCGTGTGCCACTGAAAAACAATTTTGAGTACCTCTTTGCCGTTGTTAAATACTATCTAGTTGATTCCAACTCATAGCGACCCTATATAGGCTTCCCAAGGAGCAGCTGGTGAATTTGAATTTGAACTGCCAATCTTGAGATTCTAGTCACCAGTCCAGTGCTTGCCCTCTCACACCAGGACTCCATTACTTATTTGGAATCCTGAGAAACAGTTGCCATAACATTCTGAGTTAACTGGCCTTGAATTTTAACTATCCCAGTCTATCCCCTCAAGAAGTCACCATTATGATTACATCTTTTTGTTTCTGCATATTCATGTGTGTGTGTGTGTGTGTGTGTGTGTGTGTGCATACACACAAAAACCAATTCATGGTTATTTTCTTCTTTACCCTTTGAACGTTTTGTAAGCAACTTTTATACAATTACTACTTAATATTTTCGAGCACAATGAAATTAAATTTCACAACTAAATACTGTAGGCATAAGAACAGATGTCAGTTTTTGGTATTATATCTTAGATCAACCACTGTCCCAAATTTCATTACTAATAAACTTAAATACTTTCAATTGACCATCAAAGTTGTTTGTTAGTACTGTAAGTTGCACATCTCTTTTAGCATAGATTCTACTTCCAAAAACACTAAGCAAAACAGAAGTATATAAAAACATAACTATATCCACCACTGGAAAAAACATTCAGCAAACTATAGTATCTTACATGTCAAACCCCTAAAGTTCACAGGCATGCAAAGTGTCTAACCCAATTAAACAATAAAATTTAAAAATTGAGCTAGATTGCTGAGTAATTCCTTAAATGTTGTCAAAAATGGGCAACATTTTGAAAACTTTCTATTATTTCTCATCCTGTAATATTAGGCAATGGTGGTGGTGGTGGAGGTATGCAATGGACTCAGTTTTTACCCACAGCAACCCTGTATACTGTTTCTGAGGCTATAAATCTTTATGGGTGCAGAAAGCCTAATCTTTCTCCCACGGAAGAACTGGTAGTTTTGAACTGCTGACCTTGAAGTTAGCAGCCTGACTTGTAAACACTATGCTACCATAGCTCCTAATAATGGTCAATAGCAAGTTTATAATACCCACAACGAAAAATGTGTAGTCATGTGTATGCTACAATATTTTTACCTTAATTGTATTTGTTTGCGTTTTTGCAGTTCCTGGTTTCTGAGTTCTTCCAAGCGTCTCAGTTCTTCTTGACGCCTCATTAGATCTATAAGATATTGATTATCTGTTAATATTTTTCTGCTTCCCTCTCTGTACATATTTCCATATCAACAAGCATAGAGATTTTCTATTGCTGGCAACATCTTTAGTAACTTATTCATATTTATTCAACCAATTTTTTGTTTATTAATAATTTTAAACAATATAAATGATTAGCAACTCCTTGGCTAATATTAATATCCCTTCTGGACCAGTTTCTGCATGTTGTACACGAAGCGAATGTGAAAACCCAACCTATTTTAATAAATTAAACTGAGTACCAGTTATTTTAACATATGACCACCAAGTTCAAAAACAGAATATAAATAATTATTAGTAACTGTACTAGCTCATTTTCATCCATATTTCTAAACAAATTATTATTTCTCAGTAGCAAATACATGGCCAAAAAAAATGTCTTGGAAAGAGATGCCAGTCAAGAGAGAACACCTAAAGGAGGAAACCAGAAGGAATGACAGGACACTTCATTAAGAGTCAAAGAGCATCCCTCGTAACACACACATGGTACAAGGATCCCTGCACTAAGCCAATTATTATATTATAGAAGACATTTAGAAGACAATTGTTGAAAGGGAACAAAGGGCTGAATATTGATGTGAAGATCATTTTAAATTTAAAAAGTATCCTTGCTACTCTACCAACTCTTGCCTTGTCAAAAACAGGAATTCTAGAATTGGATAATGGAAAACATTTGATGCTATAACCTCAATGAACTGGTATATTAACTTCCTAACAAGTATAAATCCTTGTCCATAATATTTTAAAGGGGGAGCATGGTGACTCCTACAAGGTTTGAGGTTCAAGCCACTCCGCAGGAGAAAGATGAAGTTTTCTCCTCCCACCAAGATTAAGAGGCATCGAAAAATTAGTTGTTTTTAATTTTTCCTTTATCTCATCATCTGAAATTTATAAAATGAACATAATTATTTCAATGTAATATTTATTAATAAATCGCTTAAAGAGTTCACACAACACAAAGAATAGTAACCATTTTATATGCATTACAAATGTTTCTGTGAGGCATCATAACACTAAAGGTTAAATATTAATGTCCCCATTTTACAGGTTAAAAACAAGACTAACAGGAAAAATACAAAACCATATAGACAGGCTGAATGATTACTATAAGACCAAATAAGTGGCTCGCCCAGGAGACATCAAGGCAAGTGATTGGGTCCCCCTCAGGGCTAAGACTCTTCTAAGACTAAGGCTTAATGGGAAAACATGCTCTGATAAAGGGAAGTGAGGGGAAAACAGCAATGAAGCAGCAAGCTAAGCCCTACAGTGCACAAATAGACTCCTGCAAACCCAGATAGAGACCTGTTTAGCTAACAGGGTGCCAAGTCCAGAGGCTCTAGGACCCAGAGTCAGCGACATAGCCACAGAGGACTAGAGTGAAGAGTGAAGCACCCAGCTGATAAGAAAAGGCACATCCACAATTGCAGATAATACGCACCTGGTTTCAATGGCTAGCTGACCAGAGCTCAAACAGAAGAAAGAAGAGGGTAAAAAGAATAATCTGATACAATTTGATGAACCTGACATACAAGTTCATCAGTAGTTTAAAAGAGGGAACAAATCTTCACAGTGAAGATCATTCCCACCTCCTCTGCACAGAGGACAGAGATGGGCCACTTGGACATTGGCTACCCAGAATGGGGGGGGGGGAGAAGGGCCCTACAGAGGCGAGAAGTGACTGGCTTAAAGCTTTCAAGAGGGACCCTACATCCAGAGGGCATGGAAAGAGGTAGACTCTCCACCGAGTAGGAGCCGTTGCCATTCTGCCTAGTCAGGGCTAATGAAAGGAGATGCAGATAGGGCTCTTGTGATACAATATTGAATAATTATTATCAGGACTGATAGTAAGGGTTGGAAATGTAAAGGTGGACGTTTTGCAGCAAGGAGGGGAGTGAGGAGCGGAGGTCCCTGGGACCATCAAGGGAGAAGAGTAGAGAGCCGGACCCCTACCCAGAGAAGTGGTCATTTCTGAGATGGAAGCAGAGAAGATGACGTAGAGAGATGGAGCAGCTGGGGACTTCAGACACAAAGAGGGAGAGGGGCTGTGTGTTGACGACGGGGGGGCAGGCTTGTAGTGTATACCCTTTGGTTGGTTGATGATGCATGGAGGGGATTGTAACCATAGCAATGAAACGATATACGATAGGATGAATGTAAAACTAATGTTGTCCCATGTAAACTATCACATAATTCACAATAAAACATTAAAAAAAGATAGCAATAACCACACCAACTTTACAAAAAATACTAACAGGAGACTTCTGGACTAAATACCAAAAACCTGAGATTAATATATATGACAACACCACCCAAAAAACAGATCAGATATTACTGCTGTTGTTAAATGCAATCTTGTATATGGTTTCCAAAAGCAGATGACCAATTTGAACTGCAGACACACCAGGAGTCCATATGTAAAAGTATTTAAAGTACAGCAAACCAGAGCCCTGATGTGGCACAATGTAAGCACTCCACCTCAAGGCCAGTCTGAACCCCAAGGTCAGCAGTTCAAATTCACCAGGTGCTCCTCAGAAACCTTATATAGGATAACTAAAAGTCAGAACAGACTCCATGGCAATGAACAACAACACAAAGCAAAAGGAAGGAGTAGTGCAGACACAGAACTTACAAATGGCAGGGAAGTTTTTTTAAAAAAAAACCAACAAATAGACAAGGAAATTGTTAAAAATAACAAGTACATGTGTGTATGCATGAGTCCTGGTGAGGACCTGTGGGTTAATGGCAATGTAACTGTAAAGTCATTTGAACTGCAATATCAGGGGTTCAAACTCATCTCTCTGGGGTTCTTCCTCTTATTCTTTGACCCTCTACTGAACCAAATATGATATCCTTCTCCAGGGACTGGTCTGTACTGATAATATGCCCAAAGTATAAGAGATGAAGTCTGGACATTCTTGCCTCCAACAAATATCCTGGTTGTAGTCTTCCAAAACAGATTTGTTTGCTCTTTTGGCAATCCTCGATGTATTTTGTTTTTTAATTTGCAATTTTAAATTGTACAATTTATTACATTCACAATACTGTGATATTATTAATTATTCACAGTTATTATACAATCATCATCACTTTTCTATTTCCACAACTTTTTCATCACCCCAAACAGAAACTCCATACTCACTGAGCAATAACTCTCCCATGCCCTCCCCCTTGTTGTTGTTAAGTGCCATTAAATGAGTTCCAATTCATAGTGACCCTGTATAGGGTTTCCAAAGAGTGGTTGGTGGGTTTTAACTACCCATTTTGTGGTTAGTAGTACAGTGCTTATCCTACAGCAAGCACCCTCCTCCTAACCTCTAGAATTATTTCTTAAAATGGAATTTCAGTGTTTTTAATGACAATATTTAAATTTAAAGCACTCTCTTGTTTCGCTTGAGAACTCGTGGTCCCGTTCTCCTGAGTTAAGTACGCATCACGTGCCCAAGGTAGGTTGCTGTTAAGTGTGGTTTAGTCGGTTCCGACCCATACCGACCCTGAACAGGATTTTCTGAGGCTGTAAATCTTTACGGGAACAGAAACCTCATCTTTCTCCCGCGGAGCAGCTGGTAGTTTCAAACTGCTAACCATGCGGTTCGCAGGCCTATTCGTAACCACTAGGCTGGTGGCCCAGTGAGGATGGAGAAAGTAGGGCGAGGGACAGACACGGGGGATAAGAGCTGTTTCCCTAAGATGAACTCTCTGGGTACTGCTGAAGGGGTTTCCTTTCTGGAATTCTCCTTTCTCACTAACCCAGGAAGTCCTCAGAATACTGTCCACATCATTAAGGACCTCGTCAGTCCACATTTGTGGAGAGGCAGGGTGGTGAGGCTGGGAGACAGAGCCTCTACTCTCAAATCCGAGGCATTCCTACAGACACCCATCTCAGGTCACCCACCTGTGGGTGTGTGGCTGAGGGGCCAGGCTGCGGAGGAAATGGGAGAGAATTAATTGAGTTCCAGATGGAGCTGTTAGAGAAAACAGTGGAGTCGGAGACGCTGCCCAAGCTTATTAGACTTAATGAAGTGGTAGGCCTGCCTCCTGGGAGGGATGAGTCAGTGGGGGGCAGTCATGAAAAGCCAGAGGCAGACCTCCCCGAGCATAGCCCCCAGACCTCTCCTGGACCCAAACATGGGAAGTGTCCCTCTCCAAGGACTTCAGAGCTTGTCCACGCACGCACTGCAAGGGTTGGTGGAACACAAGAGGTTCTAGGAGCTTCCTGCTGATATGTGAACTGCATACAGGGATATGGGCAGATTATCCAACAAGCATGACAAACACGGCTTACTTCTGCTTTTTTACTAATCTGGTGTGGTTACGTGCTGTTGAGTCAGTTTTGATGCACAGCGACTTTGTATAAGATTTCCAAGGAGCGGCTGGTGAGCTGGAATCACCAACCTTGTGGTTCAAACCAACTTTGCAGTCCAGCGCATTAACCCACAGCACCAAAATCCTCGGTATTTTTAATATTCTCCTCCAACACCATGACTCAAATGCATCAATTCTTCCACAATCTTCCATAATCATTGTCCAAGTTTCACATGCATATGAGATTACTGAAAATATCATAGCTTAGGTTGGGCACACATTCGTTATTCCTCAAACTGATGTCTTTCCTCTTGAACACTTTAAAGATGTCTTCAGCAGATTTGCCTAGGGAAACATGTCATTGGATTTCTTGATTGTCTCTTCCATGAGTGTTAATGGCTAATCTGAGCAAAATTAAGTCTTTCACAACTTTAATCTATTCTGTACTACTAAGGATGTTGTTTATTAGTCCAGATTGGAGGATTTTTGTCTTCTTTACATGGAGATGCAACCAATATTGAAGGCTGTGGTCTCTGATGTTCATCAGTAAGTATTTTAAGTCCTCTTCACTTTCAGCAAGCAAAGGTGTTATCATCTGATTATCACAGGTTTTCAATGAGTCTTCCTCCAATCCTGATGTCACGGTTTTCTTCATATAATCTAGCC